TTGAGTTTCTTGGTGTACGCAACAAGCGGTCGTCCTTGCACTGCGCCGTCCTCGGCGGTTTTGGAAGGAGGGGGTTGCTTGCGTTGGCTCTTGGAAATCATGGTGTCAGGATTATCCTTGATGAAATTGGTTGACGAAGGAGTGGTAGAGTTTGATCGAGCTTTGGCCGTGAGGCCAACCTGACCTTGGGCAACTTCAGATGGGAGGAGCGAGCGACCTTTCATTGCGCCATCCTCGGCGGTTTTTGAAGGGTTGCGCTTGCTGCGGCGCTTGGGAGTTGTGATGGCAGGGTTGTCCTTTGTCAGAGCAATCGACGACTGAGTGGTCAAATTTGATCTTTTTTTTCCTCGAGACCTCCCTGACCTTGGTCAGCTACAGTCGTGATCAAATTCGGGTCCTTCTCCGGCGGGTTCATGATGCTATCCTTCATGTTGGCGTAAATTTAATTCCTGTTTCAACAACAACAACTGTTTTCCTTTATGTACGAAACGCGTAGGACTGGTACAGTTTTGTTTTGGAGAAGCGTGTGGAAGAATATTTTCTACCTTTTTGTTTTTGATTTTTGATTTTTGAGTTTTATACATGCGACCGGGTATCTGATACCAGACTGTCCCTACAACTTACTCCCTCCTCAAATTCTTGTTGCTGACTTGAAGCGCCGAGGATGGAAAGCTAGATGCTACTACGACAACTTGGAACATGTCCTGGAGTTCAAAGACGCTCGCAAAAGCGGACCACCAAAGCAAATAGTTTCAACCATCAAACGAAACAAGTTGTTCACCGTCCGAGCAAACCAAGGGTACACGTCTTTCTTCTGCCATGCTGTCGACTCAGATCCAGAATGGTGTTCGTTTGCTGGCGCACTTCATGTCATTCCAACGGATGATGACTCAACGGACGATGTTTCAGGCGGAAAAATGAGGGAGCCCATGGACGGACCTGGTCCAACAGGAAAAATGAGGGAGTCTCCCGTGCCGACAGAAGAGCCAGCAATTCATATGGCTCCTCCTGATCATCCTTCGGCGAAAACAAGCCTTAATGGCTACGATTCATGAACGGCTGGGTCACTTATTGTATCCACGGATTCGACTGCTTGCTCGAGCCGGGCTGATCCCAAGGGAGCTGGCAACTATTGAACCCCTCAAATGTCCTGGATGTGCGTACGGCAAAGCGCACAGGAAACCGGTCAGGCACAAAGGGCAACGCAAGCATCTGCAACAAGCCACCAGGCCCGGAGAGGTTGTGAGCATGGACCAATTGGAAAGTCCAACCAGCGGATTTGTCCCGACTCATCGTGGTATCCCCACTACAAAACGATACATTGGTGCAACGATCTTTGTTGATCATTATTCTGATTTTACATACGTTCACCTGATGACCCAAATGAATGCCAGAACCACAGTGGAAGCGAAGAATGCTTTCGAACGCATCGCCAAGTCCCATGGAGTCATCGTCGAGCATTACCATTCCGACAAGAATGGATTATTCGACACCAAGTTGTTCCGCTCCACAGTTCAAGACTGCAATCAAACTCTCTCCTTCTGTGGTCCAAATGCCCACCACCAAAATGGCAAGGCAGAAAAAAACGAATCAAGGACTTGACGCTACATGCTAGGACCGCTTTGCTTCATGCAGCTCATTGATGGCCGGAGGCAATCAATGTGCACCTTTGGCCTGCCGCTCTGAAGCACTACACCAATGTCAGAAACGCGATGCCAACAAATTTCAGGAAAGGATCCCATGTAAAGGGAAAGAAACAACCGGACCTATACGACGGGTCTCCAATGTCCCGTTTCTCTGGGACTGAGATTGAATCAAACCTAGATCACTTCCACCCCTTTGGATGTCCCGTCTATGTTCTTCAAGCTGCACTTCAAGCTCAACGATCTCACAACAAATGGAGTGATCGATCCAGAGTTGGAATCTTTCTGTGTCACTCACCAGAACATGCTACATCGGTCCCCCTGGTTCTGAATATACAATCCGGCAATGTGTCACCTCAATTCCATTGCATTTATGATGACGAGTTTGCCACATGTAAGCGCAATGCCAAGTTCAAATCCCTGTGGCAGGTCAAAGCAAAGCTGATGCCCAATCCGATACAAAATAGTCTGCAGCGGATCGACGCGCCTACAACTATGGAAACTCCACCTCTGGACGCCCAGGACAAATCCTCCGGCAATGATCGAGCCGACTCTTCCGGCAATGATCGAGCCGTCTCGACGCCATAGTCCCGGATCACATGTCTCACAAATTTGATGGCACTTCCCCCGGTACCCCTGAAACTCATGAGCCTCCAGGCAACAAACTATCCACGGAACCGACAGAAGCGGCTCCAAAAGCAACTACAGGTAACAGTTGAATTTCGGTTCTGGCGGACATCAGACAAGCGACAGGCTTGTCGTCGTCCAAACCGATTGACAACTTTGTGGCCCATAAAGCCATCATTGCCAACCAGCCGTGCCAACATGCGACCCATCAAGTCGTCA